CACATAAGATTCTCAAAGGAATTTATAGGGGTAGACAAAGACAGTTTATGTAAAACAAGGGCGTACAGATGAATACCTACAGAACAAGGGGGCACGGATGGAAGCGTAAGACTGAGATGTGTCATAGAGTAAATGGAATGACCTAAAGGAGCCGGTTGTAGAGGCTAACTCCGTTCATAACATTAAAAGGTATGATAGGGAAACAACCAACGGCTAGAAACGCGGGGGCCAAGAGCTAGAGCTCGACCATGCAGGCACATATAGGTGGGTAGATGTTAATGATCTCTCGGGTGGGGGGGGGCGGTGCTCCCTCCTGTCAGTATACGGCGATGAGGTAGAGACTATGTGGACCATAACTACAAGGACAGCACGTGAGAGGAGTGAGAGCGGGAGGTGCACCACTACACCAGGCAGCGAGGGTTTACGGCAAGAGGAAGACCAGAATCTCAAGAAAGGTCTATTTTACTATCGTCTCCAGAATATTACACTATAAAAACTCTATATAATTCGTGTTTGACAACACAAAAATGTTAAAACTGCCAAATGTCACAAAGTTCATTATACAGCTGACCTGAGCATGAGGGCACGCGTATTACAGCCTTCACACTCAGGACTAACATGCACCTACACAACACCTCCCAGGGTGCCTCAACCACCAGGTAGTCACATACCTCCTCTACGCTCCTCATTATCACCATTCACTACGAATTTGTCCAGCAAATAACAAAAAATTCAGACGTTAGATTTAAATTGCGGTCTACTAACTTATTGTAAACTAACAACAAGATATTTATATTTAAGTAAACATTCAACTATTTTTCTCTGGATCACGGCTAGACATTCGCCTTTAAATAACAGTACTTACCTTGTAAAATTTACAGTGGTTTTACTTAGCCAGAGTTGAGGACCTGGGCCCCCCTCCTAGTCCATCGAGGATCATTCCCAGTGCTTCCACCAACCTTCATTTTTACAACGTTATAAATTTCACTAAACTACCGTAATGTTTATGTTCAGGACGACTGCGTAAAACCTGGGTAAGAGGAGAGATTGTGGTGCGTGCCTCAGCCCACACTGCCCCCCCCCCCCACCCAGCGGGTGTGGAGGGAGCGTGTTCTCCCGGTACTGAGCAGGTGGTGGGCTCCCTTGCTCAGGTCAACAGTGTCCACTGCAGCAGCCTTAGTTCACGACCACTGACACCACTGGCTCAAGATACAGTTTATGAGTGTATCCCTCAAGCGGAACATCCATTCATGAGTTTCAGTCTGAAATCCATGAGCGACAAATGCGTCTATATCGCCTCGTATGCTTAGATAAACCCTTTGACACCAACTATAACTTAACTCACCAAGAAATTACCTACCATTATCTGCTCCTTTCAACATGCTATGATGTCTACCTTCTCCCTGTTTATCTATCTATCTGTCCGAGGTTGGAGACCAGACACTTAGGGCCAGCCTCATTAAACTTGGATAATATTATAAATGGTTTTATGGAGAGTGCTTATAAAGGGATCAGAGTCGGAAAATATGCCTTACCTTGGAAAGGGTTCAGACAATATATCATAATATCTGTGAATGTGAAACGTCCATCGTCAAGCTTAGCATTTGTTTAATTACCTTTGTGTGTTCAGAGATTACTGTAAACACTTATGTTCACGTGAACGCTTTTCATTCTGGGTGCAATCTTTTGGTTACAGTGACAAGGATACAGCGACGGGGATGAGACGAGGCAAGTGTGTGTGTGGGCAGGGAGGGGGAGACGGGGCAGGTGTGTGTGTGTGTGTGTGTGGGCAGGGAGGGGGGAGACGGGGCAGGTGTGTGTGGGCAGGGAGGGGGAGACGAGACAGGTGTGTAACAGGACACGGGGAAGGATTTGATGAAGGAATATGGAGAGGGGCGTGTGAATGGGAAATGGGGAGGGTGTGTTGGGGGTAAGAGCAGGTCACCACACCCACCCACACACTGACGGGTGCCCTATTTATACGTATAAGAGAGAGTGTCTGTCTGTCTGTCTGTGTGTCTGTCCAAGGATGGAAGCCATAATTTTGTAGGGGGTCGCAGGAGCTATAGCAACGCCTCCCATGAAGCCTGGAAGATGGGTTTCATTATCTATAGTGTAACAATAGGCTGGCAAGCTCTTATCCAAGTTGATTCAATGTCCTTAATTTTTATTTATTCGTTATTCAGTGTTACTCGAGCATGGTTTGCTCACTGGGAGGGAGAATGGGAGGGGTAAAGGGAGGAAGATAGGGGATGAGAGGGAGAGAGGTGAGGTAGTATGGGAATGTGGGAGAATGGGAGTGAGTGAGACTGGGAGGGAGGGATGGATCGAGGAAGAATGGAGGGAGGGAAAGAGAGAGAGGGACAGGCAATGATCCAGACACCGCCGGACACTTCATCTATGTCTATACGAGAGAGAATTTATGTTTGGTTGGTAGTGTGTGTGTGTCCAGTGTTGGAGGCCAGGCACTTGGTGCTGGCGACACCCAATTTTGCACAGGGAATGGTCTGGTGTATAGGACTGATATACCTGCTTGATGGGCTTCTGGGAGTTCTTCTACTCCCCAAGCCCGGCCCGAGGCCAGGCTTGACTTGCGAGAGCTTGGTCCACCAGGCTGTTGCTTGGAGCGGCCCGCAGGCCCACATATTCACTACAGTCTGGTTGATCCGGCACCTGAAGAAAACTATCTAGTTTTATGTTGAAGATGTTGACGGCTGTTCCGGCAATATTTCTTATGTTCGCTGGGAGAATGTTGAACAATAATTTAAGTGCTTTATCTCGTCTATGCGTGCCGTATATGTTCTCTGTAATTCCCTCTATTTCAGCAATCTCTCCTGGTCTGAAGGGGGAAGTGAGTACTGAACAGTACTCGAGACGGGACAACACAAGTGACTTGAAGAGTACAAACCATTGTGATGGGATCCCTGGATTTGAAAGTTCTCGTAATCCATCCTCTCATTTTCTGGTTGACTCAATATTTGCTTGGTTATGCTCCCTAAACGTTAGGTCGTCGGACATCATTATTCCTAAATCCTTTACATGCTGCTTTCCTACTATGGCCAGATTTGATTGTGTGTTGTACCCTGTATTGTGTTTATGGTCCTCATTTTTACTGTACCTGAGTACCTGGAATTTATCACTGTTAAACATCATGTTATTTTCTGTTGCCAAGTGGAAAACTTTAGTAATTTCTGCTTGTAATTTTTCAGTCTTCAGTAGAGGTATTTTTCATGCTGATTTTGTGTCATCTGCAAAGGATGACACGAAGCTGTGACTTGTAATTTAGTCTATATCTGATATGAGAATAAGGATAAGCAGTGGTGCAAGGACTGTACCCTGAGGTACTGAGCTTTTAACTGCGCTTGGACTCGATTTATTTGATTGACTGTTACTACACACAGAAATCACAATAGCGTGATGCATCAAATGAACAAATCCACAAGGGCCGTGATGAGAGTTCGAACCTGCGTCCGAGAGAATCTCAGACGCGCATTAACCGACTGAGCTACGACATGTGACTTGTATTAATGCGCGTCAGGGATTCTCTCGGACGTAGGTTCAAACCCTCGTCACGGCCCTTGTGGATTTGTTCATTTGATGCATCACGCTATTGTGATTTCTGTGTGTAGTAACAGTCAACCATATAAAATCGAGTCCAAGCGCAGTTAAAAGTTCTGTACCTCAGGGTACAGTCCTTGCACCACTGTTTCTCCTTATTTTCATATCAGATATAGACAAAAACTTTCACTTGTACGAATAGGTCCAATACTGGCAGTGGTTTTTGCTTTGATTTCGCATATGTAAAGAAAAATTTTGTTGTTTTTTCTTTATTTCTTGACTTGCTTTCTGTTCTAGTTGTCTTTCTTCAATCTGATATGAATGCTTCAGTTTCTGCTCGATTTCTTCTCCCTGTTTAAATTATTTCTTCTTTGAAGTAACAGTCGTGTCTGCTTAAGCATTTCCGTTATTATTTTTTTTCTTATTTTGATGTGTGGTCTGCGTTCCCTCTCGCTTGATCACTGTTTTAGGTCTATTCTGAGTATTGAAGGTAGTTTGCACTTCAATGAGCTTGTGATCTGAGTATGTGGCATCTGAGATCGTAATGTTCCTGATTGTCTTTAGTGTGGAGATCAGATCTAGAATATTTTCGTTTCTATAGTTGGTTCTGATATCTGCTGCTTGAGTGAAAATTTGTCACAGAAACTAAGCAGTTCTCTAATATGTGGTTGGTTTTGTCCTGATTGATATCCTGGTATAATATTATTGTTTGCTACTCTCCATATTAGATTAGGCCAGTTGAAGTTACCTAGGAAGATTATATCAGGTATCGAGTTCTCCAAATTATCAAGGCTATTCTCTATTTTGTTTATCTGTTTTGTGAATTCATCAGCCGTTGCATTTGGCGGTTTGTATATTAGAAATAATATTCATGGATAAATAACTAAGTTTATTTTCTCTTTTTTACTCCCAGTACCTCTACCACGTCATTTGTAGAGTTAAGGCGCTCCGAGCATCCAAGGTCTTCCCTAATATACAGATATAGGCTGGTTGGGATAGGCCAACATTGAATACTTTTAGAAATATATGTATTTAAAAAGCCCCCCCCCCCTCCATGCGACTTTCATCGGAGTCACATGTGTAATATTTGGCATACTTTCCCCTAGGGTTTTTATTGATCATAATACTATATATCCTGAGAGACCCATATATTTGTTTCCAACCCGTCCTCGTAAGAGAACGTCACATTTGACGTATACTCACCCAGAAGGCCTAATATAGTCGTACTTGAAAATGGAAGCGGCTCGCGAAATTGACGTACTGTCCCGTTTTCTGTTTTAGGTCCTCGGGTAGGTCAGGATAAGGGCACAGTAGTGTGACTGTTTCTTGAAGTTGGGAAACCTTAGGAGGACAGGCTGTTGTTTCTGTGCTTCTTAATAAATTTTCCGAGAGAGAGATTGAGGGTGAAGAGAAAGATGAGATGGAGCAGGATGAAGGGGAACCAAGGGCGAGTCCCCCTCTTTAGTCCCCACTTCTTCTCCCTACTTTATCATGGAGTTTACTGCTCATGTTGACTGCTTATTGTGGAGTTTAATAATTACGCTACCTGGTAGATTGCAGTTAATGTTGACAGCTGTTTCTTGATCTATTGCATAGATTGACCACTAAAGTGTGTGATTGACAACACATGGAGGCTAATGCACTTGCTAATACAGTATGACCCAGCAACTTGGACCAACACGACACATGGACTCCTGCTTACTGCAACATGTCGGACACAGTGACCGGGCTCCTCTTTACCGCCCAGTTAAGTCCAATATTGATGGAGTTACTGCTCATAAGGGGCCAGGGTGTTGTGGAGGGGGTGACGGGGTGCAACGATAGTGTGAGGGGGGCGGGGTTGACGGTGATGGTCGACGGGCGGGGTGGACGGGGAGGGTGGACGGGCGGGGTGGACGGGAGGGTCGACGGGCGGGGTGGACGGGAGGGTCGACGGACGGGGTGGACGGGGAGGGTGGACGGGCGGGGTGGACGGGAGGGTCGACGGGGAGGGTGGACGGGCGGGGTGGACGGGAGGGTCGACGGGCGGGGTGGACGGGGAGGGTGGACGGGCGGGGTGGACGGGAGGGTCGACGGGGAGGGTGGACGGGCGGGGTGGACGGGAGGGTCGACGGGCGGGGTGGACGGGGAGGGTGGACGGGCGGGGTGGACGGGAGGGTCGACGGGGAGGGTGGACGGGCGGGGTGGACGGGAGGGTCGACGGGCGGGGTGGACGGGGAGGGTGGACGGGCGGGGTGGACGGGAGGGTCGACGGGGAGGGTGGACGGGCGGGGTGGACGGGAGGGTCGACGGGCGGGGTGGACGGGGAGGGTGGACGGGCGGGGTGGACGGGGAGGGTGGACGGGAGGGTCGACGGGGAGGGTGGACGGGAGAGTGGACGGGCGGGGTGGACGGGAGAGTCGACGGGCGGGGTGGACGGGGAGGGTGGACGGGCGGGGTGGACGGGCGGGGTGGACGGGGAGGGTGGACGGGAGGGCGACGGGGAGGGTGGACGGGAGAGTGGACGGGCGGGGTGGACGGGAGAGTCGACGGGCGGGGTGGACGGGGAGGGTGGACGGGCGGGGTGGACGGGCGGGGTGGACGGGGAGGGTGGACGGGCGGGGTGGACGGGAGGGTCGACGGGCGGGGTGGACGGGGAGGGTGGACGGGCGGGGTGGACGGGGAGGGTGGACGGGCGGGGTGGACGGGAGGGTCGACGGGGAGGGTGGAAGGGAGAGTCGACGGGCGGGGTGGACGGGGAGGGTGGACGGGCGGGGTGGACGGGAGGGTCGACGGGCGGGGTGGACGGGGAGGGTGGACGGGCGGGGTGGACGGGAGGGTCGACGGGGAGGGTGGACGGGAGAGTGGACGGGCGGGGTGGACGGGAGAGTCGACGGGCGGGGTGGACGGGCGGGGTGTGTCGGAAAATCCGACACCATTTAATATATCATACAGACAGATAATAATTGCTGCTGTATTACCAACAAGTAACCCATAGAAAACGTAACTTGTAGTGGAATTACCGTCTAAAGAAAACGGGATATCATCACCACATACTATTATAATTCACCAGCTATTCTGCTGGGAATTATTCTTAAATACATTAGTCTTTGGACTTTACCATCAGAAAAACATCTCATATAAATTAACTTAATTATCAATATTAAAGTAGAGTAAATGTGACCCTTCTATCACTTTCTGTCATGTGGACAATGTAAGCCAGGCGTCAGAGTGAGGAAGGAGGGCAGCCATTGTTGTGTCACATCCGAGACGCGTGGAGCAAATTCGGCTCCTATCATATCTGGACAATGTCATCCAGGCGTCAATAGTATGGAGTGTTAGACGCAGCCATTGTTGAGACTAGACCAGAGGCTCACAGGAGCAAATACGGCTCCTGTTAATTTTACTTGGACGAAGTGTTATGGAAACCAGTGGTGTACCATTATCACACGCTGTCAACAAATTCAAGTTAAGTGTTCTTTCCGAAACCCATGTATCTTCATTTATGGCCATTAATGTCATTATATAGGGTGACCCAGTTAGAGCACGTGGAAGCCTCAAACTAAAGGTAATTAAGACAGGTCTTCAATGTTCCATGTACAGTTTTCTCTGATATAGCTTGTCATATATAGAATCTGGCTTTACAGCTAGCGCCCTTTTGACAGGTCAAGACGAGGAAGCAAGATTTTGTGCACCAGTTACTGGGTGATGGAAGCTACCTCAAAGAGGATAATTTGGTGTCTACACCCTAGTTATACCTGGTGGACTAACCTACTGTACTATAAGATAAGGAACCTTTTCAATGTATGTAGTTAATACTGTAGTTTGATTGGCTGCATATATATAAATATAAACCCCCCCTAATGTGTAGAGGATCGATTTGTGAGATTATGAGATTATTGCAGAAATACAGTCCACTTATCATTATACAAATTGCTATCGAAGTATATAAATTAACGTAAATATAAATTCATATAAATTAAATAAATATAAATCTCACAGGTCGGTTCCCACAGGGTGGACGGGCGGGGTGGACGGGCGGGGTGGACGGGCGGGGTGGACGGGCGGGGTGGACGGGAGAGTCGACGGGTGGGGTGGACGGGAGAGTCGACGGGTGGGGTGGACGGGCGGGGTGGACGGGAGAGTCGACGGGTGGGGTGGACGGGCGGGGTGGACGGGAGAGTCGACGGGTGGGGTGGACGGGCGGGGTGGACGGGCGGGGTGGACGGGAGAGTCGACGGGAAGGGTGGACGGGCGGGGTGGACGAGAGAGTCGACGGGCGAGGTGGACGGGAGAGTCGACGGGTGGGGTGGACGGGCGGGGTGGACGGGCGGGGTGGACGGGAGAGTCGACGGGTGGGGTGGACGGGCGGGGTGGACGGGAGAGTCGACGGGTGGGGTGGACGGGCGGGGTGGACGGGAGAGTCGACGGGCGGGGTGGACGGGGAGGGTGGACGGGCGGGGTGGACGGGAGGGTCGACGGGGAGGGTGGACGGGGAGGGTGGACGGGAGAGTCGACGGGCGGGGTGGACGGGAGAGTCAACGGGCGGGGTGGACGGGTGGGGTGGACGGGCGAGGTGGACGGGGAGGGTGGACGGGGAGGGTGGACGGGCGGGGTGGACGGGAGGGTCGACGGGCGGGGTGGACGGGGAGGGTGGACGGGCGGGGTGGACGGGAGGGTCGACGGGCGGGGTGGACGGGGAGGGTGGACGGGCGGGGTGGACGGGGAGGGTGGACGGGCGGGGTGGACGGGAGGGTCGACGGGCGGGGTGGACGGGGAGGGTGGACGGGCGGGGTGGACGGGCGGGGTGGACGGGAGGGTGGACGGGCGGGGTGGACGGGGAGGGTGGACGGGCGGGGTGGACGGGGAGGGTGGACGGGCGGGGTGGACGGGAGGGTCGACGGGCGGGGTGGACGGGAGGGTATGATGGGAAGTAAGTGCCTGGGAAAGAGCAGGTAAACATTGTGCAGAACAGGGAAAGAGTAAAGACCAGGAACAATAGGGAGACAACAATTAAAACACAGTCAAACAGAGAAACTGACGAGAAACGAGAGAGAGAGAGAGAGAGACAGAGAGAGACAGAGAGACAGAGAGACATTCAGACAGAAAACAAAGGAAAGGAGAAGGAAAAATACAGTTTTCAAGTGTATTATATACCAGGATTGAGAACTTTTTATTTGTCCCAAAGACCAAAGCTCCTCCCCCTGAAGCCTGAGGACGCCACAGGAACCTCGCCCTCCTACCCGCCAAACACACACCGAAACTACAACGTTGGTACAACGTTCGAACAAGTTTTAACACCTCCTAACCAGTTATAACAACCAATATAGCAAGTTGTAACAACGTTCTAATACGTCATAAACACGTTAAACCAAGATGTAACAACTTTATTACAAGTTGTAACAAGCGGGAAATAGACAGTTTCGGTTTGTGTTTCCAGGGTAGTTGCTGCTACATTATAATACAAATTATATTCCTTAACTTTAATGGTAAAATCTACAAATGATAAAACTGCCTTAAAAATCTAAGATTAATGCATAATGTGATGAGTTGTAGCGAGGTGTGTGGAGAAGCCTGGAGACTCTGGGGTGCTCGACCTCTGGGGTGCTCGACCTCTGGGGTGCTCGACCTCTGGGGTGCTCGACCTCTGGGGTGCTCGACCTCTGGGGTCCTCGACCTCTGGGGTAAACAACTCACCTTTACTCTTGCAATAATTTTCCAAGATTTCTGCTCCTTCTTGCGTGAGCTTCGTTGGTTTTCTTGTTCGTAGTTACTGTTATAAATGTGTTTATTTTGTTTTAGTTTATTTAGTGTTTATTTGTTTATTTACCTGTGTCTCTCCATCAAGTCGAGACATGCTCACATTTCCTCACAGGCTGGGGAAATAATTTCAAGTCCGGCCTCATTGATCCTATTATGGTGGCGCGTGTTGTACGGCGCAGGACTCGTAATTCTGTGGCCCGGGTTCGATTCCCGGACCAGGCAGAAACAAATGGGCAAAGTTTCTTTCACCCTGAATGTCCCTGTTACCTAGCAGTAAATAGGTACCTGGGAGTTAGACAGCTGTTACGGGCTGCTTCCTGGTGTGTGTGTGTGTGTGTGTGTGTGTGTGTGTGTGTGTGTGTGTGTGTGTGTGTGTGTGTGTGTGTGTGTGTGTGTGTGTGTGTGTGTGTGTGTGTGAAAAATAAAAATTAGTTAGTAGTTAGTAACAGTTGATCGACAGTTGAGAGGCGGGCCGAAAGAGCAAAGCTCAACCCCCTGCAAGCACAACTAGATAAATACACCTAGGTGATAACACAAGCACAGGAGAAATAAATCGGTTAGAAAGGCGGGGACCAAGAGCTAATAGCTTGATTCTGGAGATACAAGTAGTCAATACAGGTGAAGGCATATTAACTCACCAGAGAAGAGATGCCCTTGTCCCTGGCCTCCTGGGCCCGCCTGGAGATGACCTCGGCCAGGTGACACACGTGCACACCGTTGTCCAGCTGTGCTATCAGGTTCTCCGCCGTCAGGTCCTCCACACCTGCAGGAGACCCCAGGGACCCACACTTAGTAACATCTTCACAACACAACATTATCTATCAATCACCACACAACAACGTGAGCAGGCACACACTTACTGGTGGCATCCAGAGACACTCAAACCTGTCACTGGAATGACGAGTTATTTTTATGAAGCTTTAATATAATGTTTATTAAAGGTTAGATTAGTCAAGTGGTGATGGATGTTCCACATGTTTTGTTGCTGTTATACACTGGTGTGAATGGCTGATGACTTGTGCAGTGATGATGATTCGCAGGGTTTGTTTCTTTTTGTTTTTTTACTCATTGTATTGATTAGATGTTAGAGATCATTGTTGTAAGTTAAAGGTGATGTGCATTGCAATCATAAGGTTTTTTTAATATGATTAATTTGTTTTATAATCAATATGACTTTTTGAGGTTCACTTTCTCGATGACCTAAAGTGGAAATAATCCACCTTTCTCGTTAGAACTTGTGTCCCCCCGTGTGTACGCCTTGGTCGCTCTGACAACCTTTCTGCCCTCTGCCTCAGTGTGTGACTACTTAGCCAAGGAACGCTTAGTGGTGTGCCCTGGTAGTTTAGCTGGGGTATACGACCCTATGTACCACACAGCATCACCAGGTGGTTACAACCACAGAACTCAGACTGACCCCATGTAACACCCACAGACAATCCAGCTGGGACAGCCCCGTCAAATATATCTGCTGCGGTCTCTCTCAAAGCTGCACAGACACAATATGAGATCGCTCACTTCAAAGCAACGAGTGCCACGCATTCAGGTATTTTGTTAATTATGTACCCTCATGTCAGTAACAGACACGCATCTCAAGCTTCAGTCTCTCCATATTGCTGAACCACTTGACACATAGTGTAGAGTATGTGTGTATTTGTAATAAAGTGCTGGCTCATATATTGTCTGCTCTGCAGAAGAACGAGGAGCTTGGCACTCAAGGCACAGTCAGTGCCATCATGACAGTGCCATCATGAAGTGGAGCCTTAATTCAGCTGGGTGTCTAGTACTTAGAGCCTTGTATTGACTGTTCCACAATTCTGTTAATTCCGTTCGCCAAGGTAATAAAAATTGCATGTTGCTGGGTCGGGAACTACACGTGTCTGCCACACTGACCACAGTGTAGGTCGGTCAGGCTACACAAGAAACCCACTTAGAATTGGCCATTACCCGTAAGTACAGGGAACTGATTCATTAATATAATTTAATTCCCGTTGCCTCAGAGACCCTTAACTGATGGAGTATAAGTGAAGAGAGCCTTCTCAAATGTTTAGGTTCTGGCTCATCGTAACAATAAGAGAACCAAGAGCTGCTAGCTGCCTAGCCAGTGCCACACTGCAGTCTTGCTTCCTGACAAACACGACAGGAGCTCGAGGAAGTTTACAGCCTACAATAATATGACGTATACATTTGTGTAACCAATCTTGTATAATAAAGCTTTAAATTCAATAACTAATGAGAAAAATAACAACAAATTACGAAGTTATATATTCTTCAAATATATTCTTAGACCGCTCAGAATCTTTTGATACTACCTCCCACAAAACACTGATGCGTTACATCAAGAAACAGGCTGAAATAAGTTGAAGAGAACTGCAGTGACAAGAGAGTTCCTGACAAACAGAAAAAATGAAGTAATAGCGAGAGAGAGACGCCATGTTGACAGGAAGCGGCATGCGACATTCTACTTCCATTTTCCTTGCACGAGAAAAGGGCTAGGTCAGGATGGGGGGGGGGGGAGAAGGATGGGTATCAGAAATTCAGGAAATAGGATGAGTTGGGAGGAAGTCCGGCGCCACCTTGGGTTGTCAATGGGTGTGGGAGCTTTTTCTTTCATGTGTGTGTGCTGATGGGTTGTGAGCCCGCTGGCCAGGCTGGCTCGTGTGGGTACCTGCTGACCGCCTGACCTAGAGGCTGGGTGACCTGGACCTGGTGACAATGGCTGCATCAAGTCATCACAGTAACATCAACATTTCTGCACACTTTGCGACAAAGAGTTTTTTGTTTTGTTTTATGTTTTATGTCTAGAGGGCTCGGTCCTTGGGCCTACTGTTCCTAATATACACTACTGCCCCTCTTCATGACGAGTTTACATGACAATGACTGCAGACGAAGCAAGACTGAGAAGTGTGAACACTTTTGGAAGACAAAGACTACTAGAATTCAGTTGACTTATGGGAATCGTGATAAGCCAAATAGTCTTCCTGTCCCCGACTATGGAGAGGGAGACAATAAGGTTGCGAGGGGAATACCCGGAGCAGATAAAGTGTGTTCAGATGTAAACAGAACGAGGAGACACGTGTCAATGTTGGTAACATAAATGTGTTATAGAAATATAAATACTCCGGTGCAGTTCGGGTGGTAAAGGAAGAAAGCAAGCTGGAACCAGAGGCGGTGGAAGCCACCTCTATTCACAGCTTGAAGAGCAAGTATGTCAGAGTAGCAGAATGTAGGAAGGTATACATGCACTAAGTGCGACAGCTTACACAGTTTCAAGTGTAGATATGATAGCCCCAAAAGGCCCAGTAATCTGTACACCAGTTGATTGATAGTTGAGAGGCGGAACTAAAGAGCCGAAGCTCAACTCCCACGCGCACAACTAGGTGAGTACACCCACCGGCACACCCACCAGTAGATGTACACAAACACGTCGACACTTTGTGGTTGATTTTGTCTTTGAGTCTTTTATGGTTTATTTTGCAAAATAGTAATTCTGTTCAATACAATATACACTGGAATACAATATTATGTATTAAGTTTTAACATTAACAAAATTCTGGATTTTTGTGCATTTCAACACCCACACAGCCACAGGGACAAGGGAGAATGGTGGATACTACCTTTGGATGGCTCAACCAGACATTAGAGGGATTCAACAGAGACCTGCAAGAAATGAAAATGGGATTCAGCAGAGACCTGCAGGACATGAAAGAGGGATTTGGCAGAGACTTACAGGAAATGCAAGCATTAATACAGAGCCAAAGGAGTGAGTTAGAGGAAGCCAGAGAGGAGATAAAGAGACTCAGGGAAAATCAGAGTTCAAACCAGCTCAGGGTATGCAACCTCCTGGAAACAGGGGACGAAGCTGATGGAAGGCTCCTTCCAGGGGGGGACTCTTTTGCAGAAATACTGCAGAACAGCCCAAGTGCCAAGGCAGCATTAGAGGCAGCAGCTATGAAAGCAGCTACCTCACAGGAAGCTGCAAAATGCACTGAACAAATGCTGGAAAGGAAAAGAACAGTTACAGTTGTAGGAGTACAGGAAGCAGAGGAATCCAATCGGGAGGAGTGGAGAAGGAGGGACCGAGCAACCATGACAGAGATCTTGGAGGGACCGGGTATGGAAGGGCAAATGGCAACATAGAGAAGTTTTCAGGCTGGGCATCTAAGAGAAGGAAAGGAAACGATTGATAAAGGTAGTGCTCACGAACGAGGCAACAGAGGAGAAAATCCTATCCAGGAAGAGCAGACTTGTGAGGTCAGGGGGATACGAGGACGTCTTTCTGCAAAGGGACATGACGAGGGAGGAGAGAAGGAAGGCTACAGAAGCAAGGAGGAGACGCAGAGAAAGGGGTGGGGATATGGGAGCCACAGGACTCAGCCCCAGTGTCTCCAGGAACCTCAGAGGGGAGTGGGAATCCCCCCACCAGCAGGACAGCACCCCCAGGGAGGATTGTAACAGACGCCTTCCAACAACCAACCACTCAGCCATCCCCCACCAATCACCAGCACCTCCCCAGACAGTAAAGTCCCCCTTCAGACCATGCCCCCCCATGTTCCCTGACCCCAGACCCCCATGTTCCCCCCATGCCCTTTTTCTTCCCCAACCCCAGATCCTCACTGTTCCTGCTCCCCATTCCCTTTCCTGTTTTTCCAGCCTGTGCCCTTTCTCAGTTTCCCCACCCCAAGCTCTCCTACCTACCCCCCCCTCCCTCCTGGCCCCCCTCCTGAGGTTCCCCCTCCCCTCCCCAACCCCTGACCTCCCTATCAACCCACCCCAGTCTACCCTGCATACCCAACTCGTGACCTCCCCCCACATGCCCCTCCAGCTCCCCCATCCCATGCCCCAACTAACCCCTAACCCCGGACGCCCTCAGCCGCATCACGTCAGACCTCCCCTAGCCCCCCCCTCACACCCCAGACCCCCAGGACCCCCAACCTAGGCTCACCCATCCCAGACATCCCTTGCCCCCCAACTCCAGTGGAATCAACAGAAACTGAGAATGGACAGAAGAGAGTCAGCTTCAAGGTCATGTGCTCGAACATATATAGGATTACAAACAAGGCCAGTGAACTTAGGGAAAGAACACAAGACGTAAACCCAGATGTAATTTGACTCACAGAAACAAAACTCTCAGGAATCATAACGAATGCAGTGTTTCCCCAGGACTACACTGTAATAAGGAAAGAGAGGGAAGGAAGGGGAGGAGGCGGAGTGGCTCTACTGATGAGAAAGGAATGAAGTTTCGAGGAGATGGTTATTCCGGGCTGCGAAGGGTTCACAGACTTCATAACAGGCACCATGACAATGGGAGGACCAAGAGTAGCAGTAGCAGTGATATATAACCCAAATGAAAGAAGACCCAGGCAAGAGTATGACAGAAACAACATGGCAGTTAACATTATCATTGAGAGAGCAGCCGCTGCTGCCTGTAGGCTGCAATCCCATCTGCTCATCATGGGGGACTTTAATCATGGAAGGATAGACTGGGAAAACAGAGAACCACATGGAGGTGAGGAAACATGGAGAGCAAAACTGCAGGAGGTGACGACTAGAAACTTTTTAAGTCAGCATGTCAAGGGTCCCACGAGAATGAGAGGCAATGATGAACTAGCAAGACTCGACCTAGTATTCACTCTGAACAATTCAGACATAAGGGAAATCGGTCTTGAAGCCGCCGTGGGTATGAGTGATCAAAGTGTACTGTTGTTTGAATATCTGGTCGAAGAAGGGTTAATGTACTCAAGGAAGGGAAGAGAAAGCAAGAGG